CGGCGCATGCTCGCGGCTGGCTCACAGCCAACATGTCTGCCGCTTGGAGATATTTCAAAATATCAGAGAAAGAGGCGCGGATTGCAATTTGTAAAACGTGTTCAGCTGACATTTCTCGAGGGGGGTGTAAACTAGCAAAGACTTTCACCACTTCGGGATTACTCCACCACTTAAAATCAAAAACACCCGGACAAATATAGCGGAGTATGATCAACGTAACCCTGTTCTCTGACATTCGGTGATATTTTTTCGGTGCTAAAAACCCCTTTCGGACCGAAAGGGTCCTTTTTAAACCATTTTTCGGCCCGATAATTTTCGGTGGCCGAATATTCGGTGCATCCCTACAAAAAAACCCTAATTTGTATGTGCATGTGTGGGAGATTTAATTTGCCACAGTGCAGTGTCTCCTCAGTTTGTTTTTCTCACCATCAGTCCAGTTAGCCTCTGATATTCCCAGATCATTGAACAGTTTGTCAGTGAACATAGAAGGGGGTCCATGGGCTCCATTGCCCACAGGGTCTAGTTTAAAGTAGTCACAGTGAACCACTTCCAGCTGACCATCAAGACGGCCTTCCAACTCCTACAACATGAAAACATGTAGGGGATACAACATCATTTGTCAAACTTTTAGAAAAAGGGTACAATTATTTGTTTAAGAATTACCATTTGATGATTAAAATGAGTAAAACTAAAACTTGGTTGACTTTCGCTTAGGGATATATGTTGATATAATTGTGTTACCCGTAATTTTGGTAGGAACAACTTATCCCCTTCAAGAGCCACAATTCTCTGAGCTCCAGCGTTTATAAGAGTCTTCGTCAACACCCCAGGACCTAAGAAAGACAGACACCAAAAAAGCCTTTCAATTATTTGTTTTTTCACAGACATTAGTAATATACGGTGCAAAACGTATAAACATGCATATTCTTTCTCTAACACAATCCAAAATTAACTGGGTACTTTGTCAATGTTAATGCAAAATGAGATCCAAGTTAGACACCTGAAGCACAGGAACATTATGCATGCATTAACCTGTTAAGCCCTGAGCCTGTTTTTCAGGTTTCAGGCTCGAAAATGACATGCCCAGAACAAATGACTATACAGTATCTTCACTTCTTAAAAGCAGTAAATTAATAATCTTTTTTCTCCAACCAATAGGCGCTTTCACACCGGAGTACTTGTCCCAGAAATAGTTCCTGTGATTTTGCGTTCACACCAAAAGGATCTGGAACTAGAACTTGTTCTTGTGAGAACCCTCACACCAGATACTGAATGGTTTTCGGACCCCCCCAGACCCCCCCAATAAAGCAAAAATGCATGTTTCAGAGTGGCCTTTTATTGCACACCAGTGCAATAATCATGCTGTCTAATCAGCATCTTGATATACCACACCTGTGAGGTGGGATGGATTATCTCGGCAAAGGAGAAGTGCTCACTATCACAGATATTTTCAGAGTTGTAAACAATATTTGAGAGAAATGGTTATTTTGTGTAAATAGAAAATGTTTTAGATCTTTGAGTTCATCTCATAAAAAATGGGAGCAAAAACAAAAGTGTTGCGTTTATATTTTTGTTCAGTGTATAGTAAGTACCCTGTATCAAGATTGATGCAAAATAAGTGATATTTGACCTTTTTAGACAGATTTTGCAAAAAAAACTCTTCTGGGGCCATTTGGGTGGATTTTCCTTATCTCTGGCCCCCCTTGCTCGATTTTGACGAGTGACATCTCTTTCTGACCGTTAGAGCCACTCATGTTAAAAGAAAGGTGGCGACTTAGCGCATTCAATCTACAGAGCGTAGGAATGGCCTGCTCTGATATTTGAAAACAGAATTGCAGTTTTATTGCTTATAGATTATCAGAACATTTCAAAGGGGACACAGTCACATTGGATATTAACCTATGGATTAACTACAGGATTGTTTTTATCGTTTTAATGCCATTGAAGACCAGTTTTGACCAGACAAAACAAGGTAAGCCATGTTAGCGTTTTAGGGTACCTACTACCACATGTTTTGATGTACGTTTTTGTTGATAACGTCGCGAGTTTGTATCTTTCAGTGTTGAGGTGGGCACCGTTAGATTCTGTGTCTTTACGATCATAAACGATGTGTTGGATGTGCAGCTAGGATAAGTAATAAGGGAGCTAGGAGAGATTTTCGGTGCAGTAATAGGTTAGCATTTTTCGCTCTGGGCTAATTCAGAGGGTCAGTGTTAGCATTGTGTGGTTTTTTTTAAAGTTAAATGAGTTTTTTCCCATTATATGGATATAAAATATTCATAGTTTACTAAATATTTAGGTTCCTTCGACGTTGTTTCCTGCAAATGACGCGATTTCGGCCCCGGAACCGGGTCCGTGGGGCTTAAGAGGTTAATGCTCTTGAACACAACTTTTGATCAGAAAACAGTAAAGGTAAGACGTATTTGCCGTTTTGGCTACGTAAAGTGAAGTTGTGTGTTATCTTTGCTGGCTTTCGCTGCCACGAGTTTTGGTCGCACAGTGATGATACTTATACCATCGGAATCTGTGGAATCTCAGCTTTCATATGCTATCGAGCATTGTGCAGATCCGATGAAATATACAATATTTATACCGTGAGTTATGCGCTTAGTGCTAATTCAGAGGCTCGGCGTTAGATTTGTGTTTTATTTCGGTAAAAATTGTTCATATCGTCAGGTAGCTGAGTTTCTTCCCGTTAGGTGGGTATGACACATTCATAGTTTGTTAAATGTTAAGAAGCCCTCAGACGCTGTTTCTTGCAAGATGTTGCGGGGGCTCCCGGGCTTAACAGGTTAAGAGCACTTTGATATAACATGCTGACTTCCATTTTGTTTCCAAATACATACCTGGGTTACATTCGAAGATAACAGTTTTAGCATCCTCAGGTTCTATATGCTGTGCTACCAGCTGAGCCAGGTCTGGGTCCACTATGTAGTGTCTGGGCATTTTAGAAGACTGAGCATGGAGTCTATTCTCCTCAACGTCACCGAGATCCAGCAAGTCATGCAGGAAGTCATACCTGGACAGAGGACGACACTTGCCCTGGAGAGACACCAGATAATGCAGATAGAATGTAAAAACCATTGCTACCATGTGAAAAAGCTCACAGTATATTGAAAAGTAATGTGTAATGTTTTACTGCTCTCAATTGTATTGATTATTATAATACGTCACACATAGTGGTTTAAGTAGCCAGGAAAAGTCAATAACTATACACCGTATTATCCTAAACAATCAGTAACAGAGTGCAGAAAACTTCAAAGCAGTATCTATAGGAGTACGACCAAAACATGTAAATTACTGCGTAGCATAGGAACTATATTGATCCCCCATAGGGGAAATGTATTTGTTACAGCAGCTCAACAACAATATAATTAAGGGACAAATCAAGCAAAGCCAAGGAAAAGTGCCTACCTGTAGAGCCACAGCAGACAGGTTCCTCTGTGCGAGTGCTGAGGAAGACGTCCTCTCTGCAAGAGGCTGCTGGGAGCTTTGACCAAGGGTATGTCGACCAGGACCCGAAGAGAGAGAGTCCAGGCTGAAGGCCCTTCTATGAAGCACAGGAACCCCAGAGATACACCGGCCAGAATGACCCACAGGGGGCAACACTGCCTTGTGCAAACACAATCTGCTTCTGATGGTCTGGCAGCAGGCCGGGCGCATCATCAGCTCCACCTGTCTAAAAATGTGAATGGACATAGTGGACCTTCAACTACAGAAGAAAGAGACGAGACAGGAGGGGAGGGAGATGGGGGGGCTCCTCAAGAGGTCATTCCCTAGAGTGATTAGAGAAAAAAGGACAAGGGATTATAAAATGAATTTCAGACATTGAAATAACACTATTAGAAAAAACATGTGCTAGCATTAAATGGTTAACTAGACTTTTTGCAGAAAAACGGTACATGTAACGTTCGCTAACTTGTTCTTTACCCAATATTTGAAAGGGTTAAGAAATTAGAAATCATTTAAAAGTGACATGATTCAAGCAAGTGTCAATTATGAATAATAAAGTCAATAACGATATTCAAATATGCGTGTGTGACAAAGTAAGTACGTTATCAAACGTTCTCCTTGCACGTTTGGAGGTAACGTTTGGTTGCTTTTTTATCAAATTCACTGGAGAGGTATTCACCTTTTCCACCCTGTAAATTCACAGTGTTTGAGTATATGCACGCCAAAGAGGCACACAATAAAATTGCATACACTCTGTTACAACTCCTTGGCTTAGTTGATTTGTTTGGGGATTCTGAGGATATGTAAGTTGTTAGCGCGCAGGCTAGCGTCACGCTAACGTCACTAACTACTACAATGCGTTTACATGCGCTATATTTAAACATACCTTATTGAAGAATATCCTCTATATATCCAAATAAAACGACATCAGAGATTTAAAAATGCCTCTTGTGTGTCTGGTTCCTGTTTAGACTCCGTGACATTGAGGCCTCAGTTGGTGTTGTAACTCTCGTGGTGCAGATCCAGGCGCATCTGAATGTCGTCATTGAAAGGCGTCTAGGAAGAGGACCAATCAGAAACGCGAGGAAGTTGTTGCGCTAACGACTACCTGCTAATGCTAAACCATTGCACACTTAAAACAAATAAATAAATTAAACTAACTTAGATGGGCTGACTCTTTGGAATGAGCCAGTTATTGTTATAAAACATTCACTGACCTAGAATACACACGTAACGTGACAAAATGTCTTGATACGTAATTGTTTTGATAGTAAAGAAAACCTAACGCAGTTGTTAATGTCTGTTAGCATATTAGCATAATGTTGCTACGGAAGTAGACTCTCGAGCGCTGTCAAAAGTGCACGCAGTCAGCTCTGCGCTGTCAGTCAGTCAGAGAGACTGGTGGAGGTATCATCTCATCTAACTCCTCCACTGTTGCTGCTGTTACCATGGCCCGTGTCGAAACATCATCCAGCAGACCCTACCATCTCATTATCTTCGGAGCCTCCGGATTCACGGGACAGTTCGTGGTGGAGGAGGTGGCCCGGGTCGCATCCGAGGGTCCGAACGGGAACCTGAAGTGGGCGGTGGCCGGCAGGAGCAAGCAGAAGCTGGAGAAAGTTCTGGAGCAGGCGGCCGCAGAACTCAGTACGTACCCCAACAACTCCATTAGTTGTGCGTTTTCTCTGAGTTGGACAAATTACTCTTGTACTGAAGTCAAAGTAGAAGTACCAGAGTGTATGGTTACTCTTTTAAAGTCCTGCAATTAAACTTTTTCTCAAATAAAAGTGGAAAAAAGTATTGACATCAAATGATACTACCAAAAGGAAGTAGCCTACTCATATTTCAGCTCGAACAATTTCAGAATCATTTATATCATATGTTTTGATTATAATTATTGATTGATTAATTTGTGTTTATCAAAGCTGGTAAAGGTGCAGCTAGTTTTTTACTTTGAATACTGCAGGGTAGCTTGTGAATTTTACTCCAGGTGACTAAAGTCTTATTTAGTGTTTTTTATATTTCACACCATTAATCTAAATCTGCAAAGTAACTAAAGGTATTAAATAAATGTAGTGGAGTGAAAGTGCACGCTTTACCTCTGAACTGTAGTGCACTAGAAGTACAAAGTAGCAAAACATTGAAATACTCAAGGAGAGTACAAATCCCTCAAAATTGTACTTAAGTAGAGTACTTGACCAAATGTACTTAGTTACTTTACAACACTTATTTTGATCAGATTGTTTATAGAACCAACAGTTCTGCAACGGGATAGTTTCTCAGTGAATATTTCCAACATCAGAAGGATGGATAATGTAGTTAGAGCTGTGCCTCTAATCAGGTTTTACAGAGTATTTACAAAGGCATACGGAAATCACTTAACTCTTAGTTCAACTCAGGATCACTAATCTATCCAAGTTGAGCCTGCTGATAGTGATTTGTTTAACATTACTTTGACCTTAAACTCTGACTTAACTCCAAAGTACAAGCGAGGAGGCAACTTGACAAAAAGAAATCATACCATTATTGAAATTGTATCCACCAAAAACTAATTTTTGAGCTCTCACTTTTTTCCCCTTTGACCAAAGTTAATAAAGATAAGGCATGGTTCAACTCTCACCTTAAATAATTCAACCAACACCTTAAACAATTTATCCTTGCTGCTGATGGTGAAAAAGACAGACAAGATTACTAACAAGGGGTAAGAGTTGTAAAAAATGCTCAACACAATTTGCACAAACTGCCTTTATTAACTACAGCAACAATACATTGGAATGCTATTCCCTGCACTAATAGTATCTGTAAGATTTTTTAAATTATTTTATTTATACTTAAAATAATAAAACCATCAAACTTTAAATCAATATATTTGCTGATGATCAGCCTTAAATGAACTGATAGATTAATGTGTTTGATGACAAATATTTGAAAAAATAAAATTCCATTTACAATTACTCACAAAAAAAGGAAAATTCCATATTTAAAAAAAAACGTTTTAATATTGATATTTACTGAATACCGGTAAACACTAATTGCGTGGGCCAGTCATTTTTTAGGATGTATATGCAACACTCTAAATCTGGATAATAAATTCCATGATTGGATCAAGAGCTGGGAGTTTTTCTGCTGTCATGATAGTAATGTGATTTTCCCTAGGATTAGATAGTTATTCTGTTGTGTCCTCGGGGAGCGAGCAACAGCTGATGGAACAAACCTGCTCACTGTACAATCCTCAGCCATGGCAGCACACACTGTCATTCAGGAAACACTGCAAGCAGTTTGTCCGTTTTAAACACAAATGTGCCTTTCTCCAACAAGCCCCAAAAAGTTAGTTATTTCACAGGATGCACAATATTTGTTAAAGGCGGAATATGTTTCAAAATACCAATCTGAACAAAGTATTGTTGCAGCATACAAATCTAATTTTGCACACTATAAAATCTTTCTTTAGTTTAGATTCTTGTATGATCATTTTTCAATGATAATAGTCAGGTAAAAATCATGATTTCTGAACAAACTCAATTTCCCTTCTCAGTCAAAATTATCGAAGTTAAATATGTTTATCCAAATCAATCCGCTCTAACATTTTCTGTGCTTCTTGTAGCCTATTTTCTCTTGTTCTTTCTCGCGTACTCATTTCCCACAGCTGTACAGTACTCCCATATTCACACCTGGTAATCATAAATATGAGTAATTATGTTAACTATAAAGACGTTTGATGTTTGAGACTGTAACGCAAACATTTGTATTCTGTGTGTGTTTTGCAGGTAAGCCTGAGCTGAGGTCAGTGGATGTCATTGTGGCAGATGTGGGAGAACCAGGCTCTCTTGCAGCCATGTGCAAACAGGCTGTGATTGTTCTCAACTGTGTAGGGCCTGTAAGTAGCTGCCTATCATTCTTTCTTAAAAAATTACACATTTCTTTATCCATCTCATGACAAACTATTTTTCCTCACATCATCTCACAAATGTAGCATGTTGGGTTCTCCCTTTGGCACCAGTGTAGTTCAACATATCCCTGTTTTCTCTCTATCATTAATACACACAGAGCAGCCTTTATTTACACAATAAAGCCAACTGACTTGCAGCACACAATATGTCGTATTGTATTTGAGTCAGGATGGAAAGCATCCAGCACTGCTTTGTGTTCTGTGTGAAATCAAGGTTCTTGTTTCAATTCAAATTCTTCCACTGCAGTTTCCCTACTGTTGTACACAGCAGCTGGCAACTTGGTTTAAATGGAGAAAAATATTTGAAGTTAAAAAAAATACACCCTCTTATTTCTCTTATCAGTTCAGTGTTTCTATCTCGTCTTTTAAGTGAGTATACATTTAATAAATCTGGTAAAGGCCATTGAGAGTGGAGTGCTGCCAGTATTCTTGTGACACCACGTTTCACATACTAGCCCAAGAAGAAGAAACAAGGAGTCTTACAAAGGTGGAATGTGCTTTGCTCTGCAGGTTGGTTATCCAAAATCAACAAAATAAGGTTAACTATTTAAGACTACAAACAGAATAACAACTCGTAATAATCAGACAGATCATATGACTCACATGTATTTTTAAACATGAATATATAAAACAAAAGAAACCTCAATGTTCAAGTTTAACAGGATTCCCCTTGGAGCTAGGTTCTGCAGCTGCAATGCTGGAAATCCAGTGGATCGTTTTTTATTATTAATCAGATATTTTATTAAAATGTTTGCAAACATGAATTTAAAACACAAAGATGACACTGTGCATCTATCATCAAACATACTTGCATACAAACAGACATACCAACTGTGCTCAGAAGGTGAGGAAGGTTAATAAATGCAAATGAGCCAAATCAAATATCAGAAGAGAATGATATGGTTGCATTCATGGACGGACTATATTAGAATAGGTGTTTATAATATGAATGCAAACGGTTGAGAAAATTAAGGGTATTTACTTTAACGCGTGTCATCACCTCCTCCACCCAGCGATTACGGGACGTTGCCAGCTGGGGATCATGTCTAGTCGCTGCATCAGCAACAAAAGGGAGTGAGAGTCAATATCTGGGGGGGTATGTTAGAATGCTAGGTATGGTGGAAAAATGAATTGTTAATTATAAATAAATGGTTTCTGACATGTTTTGCAACCAAAGGGGCCTCATACTGTACAACCTTCACATTTGTCCGACTGTGTGTGGAGGTTAGGCAGTAATGATAAGTAAAAAGACCTTGAGATGTGATATGCAAGGGAATATCTGGTTTCAACTGTTTATTTTGATGTGGTTACTGCAGACATCTTAGATTTAAACTTGAAACATTTTTGGTAAAGCTAAACTCTATATTCAGATTTGTGCTGAATAAACATATAATTGAAGAAATAATTGAAGGCTTATAAAGTTGTATTATTCATACAGAAGCTGTCAAAAGCTCTGTATTTATGAAGAGTATTTTTTTGACACCAAATTAGGCACTAGGTTTAGATGGAGGCTTGGCCTGTTATTTTTCTGGCTAACATTCAAAAAGTTGAACCCTTTTTTTAGCCCAAAGCAAAGTAGTAACACACACAATTGGCCGGGGATCAGACCTCCACCAAATAAGAACAATAAGGTTTTGCATTATTTAAATATATGTGTCTCTGTCTGTGTATAGTACAGGTTTTTTGGCGAGCAAATGGTGAAGGCCTGTGTGGAGAATGGAGCCCACCACATTGACATCAGTGGAGAGCCTCAGGTATGTCTATGGTGCTGTTTTTCTTTACTATAATGTTCTGCACATCACTTAAACTTGTAACTGTTACAGGGAAGTCATTTTTATTATTTTATAAACCTTTTTTATTTCCCTTCCTGAGACCTTAATCTTCTGAATACTAAAATGATATGTGCCCTAAATGTAATAATGCATATGAAATTAAAGTAAAAAGAACATACCTGCATGTTTTCAGATCTGACTCTGCAGCTGTTCTAAAGTGCAGACGTGCTGCGTTTCATGCTGCATCCTGTTAGACAAGAGAATCCCTCACTTGGCCGCATGACAGCAATTTGTCCAGGCTGTTAGATGGAGGTCTGAT